AACTAATTTTCTCTGTTTTTCTGTTTTCTACATTGATTTTGTGCTCTAACCTTTAATATTTTTTTATTCTGCTTAGTTCATATTTGATAATATTCTTTTATCAATACAGATCCTTAGATTAATGATTTAATACCCTTATTCCCACATTTAAAATTATAAATTTCCCTTCAATCCCTATATAGTAATACAAAAAATCTTTGATATGTTGTTTTCATTTTTATTTAAGATATTTTCTAATTTTCCTTTTTCTTCTTTGACCCAGGGATATTTAAATATATGTTATATATTTTTCAAATATTTGGAAATTCTCCTTTTTTTTTCCCTGTGGATTTCTAACTTTATTCCACGGCTGGAAGGATATATTTTGTGTGTTTTCAATCCTTTAAAATTTATTGAGACTTGTTTTATGACCTAGCATATAATCTATCCCTTAGAAGATGCCATGCACACTTGAAAAGAATGTGCATTCTGCTATTGTCAGATGAGACGTTCTTTATGTATCAGTTAAGTCAAGTAGTTAGTATTTGTCCCCTTCTCCTTTCAATCCTGTCCATTTATGTTTCATGTATCTTGAAGATCTGTTAGGTGTACATATACATTTATAATTATTGTGTCTTCTTGATATATTGAGTTTTTGTTGTGATATGTCCCTCTTTCTCTTTAGTAATACTCCTCTTCTTAACATAACTCCTATCTTTAACATAGCCACTCAAGCTCTCTTAGGATTGAATAACTGTTTGCAGGGTACATCTTTTCCTGTCCTTCTACATTTAACCCATTTGTGTCTCTAAATCTAAAGTGCATTTTTATAGACAACAGAGAGTCAAATCTTGCCTTTTATGTGATCTGATAATATCTTCCTTTTGATTAAGGAGTTTAGTCTATTCATATTTAACATAATAATGGATAAAACTATATTTTGATTAGTAATTTTGCCATTTGTTTTCAATATGACCCATATTTTTTGTCCCTGTTTCTCATTTATTGACTTTTTTTCTTAAAGAAAATCTTTTAGTGTCTATATAAATCCCTCTATCGATAATATTTTAAGCTATATATTTAAAATTATCTTTTAGAGATTGCTCCAAGGATAGCAATATGCATGTTTATCTTAGGTTAAAACTGACCTAATTCCAATAAAATCAACCACTACAATATAGCTTCATTTCCTTCCCTTGTCTTTGTGCTATTATCATCATATATATTACATTTATCTGTGTGATAAACCCAACAATATACGGTTATAATTATGGTTTTAAACAATCTTACATTTGTTAAAGAAATTAAGAGAAAAAATATGTATGTTTATAAACACACTTTCCTTCTCTTACACAAACACATAGTCTTTTATATTTTTCTCCATATTAACCCTTTCCAATATCCTTCCATTCCTTCCTATATATTCCAATTATCATGTGCCATTTGCTTTGAGCCCCAAGGGTTTCCTTTAGTCTTCTTATAGGGAAGGTCTACTAGCAAAGATTTCTCTCACTTTTTGTGGATATAGAATTGGATATAGAATCATTCGTTGATTCGTTTCTTTTTTTATTTCTGCCTTCAGGCTTCTATTATTTTTAATGAGAAATCATCCAGTAACTATATTTTTGTTTCTCTTTTCATTAGGTTTTCTGTTGCTTTTAAGATTTTCACTTTTTCATTGTCTTTGAACAGTTTGACTGTAACATGTCTATTTGTAATTCTTTTCATGCTTATCCTACCTGAGCTTTGTTGAGCATTTTAGAGGTATAGAGTAATGTTTTTCATCACATTTGGGAAGTTTCAACCCTTATTCTTTGAAAAATATCTTTGATCCAATTCCCTCTCCATTCACTTTTTAGGACTCCCATTAAATGTATGTTATGGGAGTCTCTCTATTCTTTGGACTGGGTAATTTCTATTGATGTGCCTTCAAGTTCACTGTTGCTTCTGCCATCTCAAATCTACTGTTACATCCACCTAAATAATTTCTCATTTTAGTTATTGGGTTTTAATAAAACTATAGAATTTTCATTTGTTTCTTACCATAGCTTCTATTTTTTATTAAGATTTGCTACTTGTCGAGTCATTGTCATCATATTGTCCTTTGATTCTATGAACATGGTTTCCTTTAATTCTATGACTATAATTTTACTGCCTTCTTAAAGTCTTTGTCTATCAGCTCTAACATCTGCTAACACCCAGAGTCAGTTTCTATTCCTACATTTTTCCTCAGTATTATCTCTTTGCCTCATGATAATTTGTTGGAAGTTGGTTATCTTAAAAATGTAGCAAATTATCTTTTTATTTTTACTACTTTTTAAAAGTAACTTGATTTACACTGGAATCTTTCTCACTGCAGTGCATGGCTACTGATATCTCCATTCAATTTTTAAGTTTTTACTTTTATCAGGTAGTTTGGCTTGCTAGAAGTCACACTGTGCTTGAATAGCTTAGTGATCAGCTCATGAAATAGGCAGAAGTGGTGCTCAAATGCCTCAAGCCCATAAGGCTTCTAGCTGGATCTATGTTGGAAGCACATTCAAAGCTTCTGTGGGTTCTCAAATCTGTCTTGGATTTTACTCTCTGCTAGGCTCACCCAGTGCCCCATGTGCACGCACATACTTTCTCGGTCAGCCAGAGAACTGCGAAGAGCTTTTCTAGCCCGAATATTTCTCTTATTTCTGGGGTACTAGGTATTAAATTTCTGGCTAAGCCACCCTTTACCATATCTGAGACTGCAACCTCAGGCCCTTGAAGATGAAGGTTTTTTGTTTCCTATCACATTTGACTATTTTAGCCAACATATCTGTGGGTTTCTATCTCTCCCTACCCAAACCAAGTCCACTCCCTCTGACAGCAAAGCTGCTGTTTCTTCCAGGTAGGCTCATACTGGTCAAACTGTTCTTTCTGTCTCTTGCAAGGTGGCGTGGAGGCTGGGGGGGGGGGGGCGGGGGGGGGGGGGCTTCAGGCAGAAAGGCCTCAGAAGGCCTCATACTCTGTTGGTCTTACAGAAACCAGAGCAATCTTTCAGGAATGAATGCTTCCCAATGCTTTTGCTTGATTTCCAGATTCTGGAAGTGAGTATTTTGCCAATTTTGCGCAGAGGATGCACTAGCCATTGCAGTGGTATATGTCATACCCATTGGTAGCATATAATTTTAAGAAGAGAAAACCATATGCTCTAGAGCCTTTGTTTTTAATAAAAGGATATATTAGACATTCCTTGAAGCCCCATTCTAAGCCTATGATTTCACAATAAGCTGACCAAAAAGAGGAGAGTGGCCCAGGCAACTGTGTCTCTGAGACTGTTTCCTAAGGCCCACTCTGTATCTTACTCATTAGGAAGCTTAGATTTTTATTTCTGTGCCTCATATATGTTTCTCAGTATGAACAAATAATATACTGTTTGGATCAGTAGTCAAGCATTATAAATGGGAAATAATTTCTAAACCACAGTAAACTCTCTACAAGAGGCTTAAGAATTAGAAGATAGAGTGGTTATCTGTTGGGGAGGATAGGCTTTCAGCATATTTTACAATTTTGGAAAGATTTACAATTTATTATGTGAATTAGAGAAATCAAGAGTCTTAACATCTGGGGAATCACAATTCTTTTTATCTTTAATTATCTTCAAAGGATTTTTACTTAAGGATTATGTTCCCTCTTTCTTTTCTCTTTATCATTTTCTTTACTAGCATATTCTTCCCTTGGTGCTATAAAAACCTAAGACCATCCTATTAACAGTGATAAATGATTCCCCTTACAAACCAACAGTTTTAATTACCTTTCCTTTTCTAGAAGTGAAACACTATGACATAGAACAAGAGAAAGAGCAAGAGAAAATAACTTGCTTCTCTAAGCCATCCCATAACACAATACATAGGCTTAAAATGGATAAGGGCTCCAGGTTTAAAAGATGGATAAGTCCTCCTGACTGGTACCAAGAAAGAGGTTTCTCATACATTTCTTATTATGAAAGGTCTATTTTTATTCTCCATTGTGGTCCTCAAGGATGCCAAAATGGATCCTGGCTTTCTTGATAATGCAAACATTTCCTTTGCCTTGTTCAAGTTATTTCCTATAGTGCTATTTCTGTCATGTTCAGTTTTCTATATTGGTATGACAGCATTTGCTACTGGTTACTAAATATGACAACATTTGTATTATGACACCATCAGAACATTTGCTGACCTGATTCCTGAAAAAAACTACCAAGAATAATGTGGAGGATTCCCTTCTCCAAACCCAGACTGTAGTGTGGTACAGCCATGAGCAAACATCATCTCAGACAACAAAAATTTACACCTGCAGTATATATGCTTATTGGGATACGGGCTGAAGCATAACAGAATTGAACACTCAGCTTAATAGCAATGTAAGGGGAGAAAGCCCAATAAAAAAGTAGCCAGTGGACAGTGTAAAACCTGAGGACAGTGCAGATTTACATTCACTTGGTGGCATACATACAGCAGGAAATTCTAGGTCATTCCTGCATATTTTTAGATAGCATCTAATAATTTTTAAATGCCATCAGTGTTTTAACTCAAAAATAGAGGGAGGGGTGCCTGGGTGGCTCAGTCAATTAAGTGTCCGACTTCGGCTCAGGTCGAAGGTCAAAGGTTCGAGCCCTGCATCGGGCTCTGTGCTGAGAACTCAGAGCCTGGAGCCTGCTTTGGATTCTGTCTCCCTTTCTCTCTGCCTCTCCCCTGCTAGTACTCTGTCTCTCTCTCCAAAAAAAGAAATAAACATTAAAAAAAAATACAGGGAAGAAAAAGAGTAGCTTTTCTCTGGTTCTGTATTCAAGGACACTGGTCAAACACCATTTCGTTTTCCAGAACTTTCTACCTTCCATTTTCCTGCTGTACGTGGTACAGCATCAGCCCTCTGGATGAAGAGATCTGGAGCCTGTACATAGTTCTTAAGATTGTCTCCAAAAGAATATATGAAGGAAATGAAGGAGGATCCTTAAGTGAGAAGTCCCCCTCTCTCCCTCTGAGGTAGGAATAAAAACGTGTTCTCACCTGATGGAAGAGAGGGCTGTGTGTCACAGGGATTCCCAACCCACCAAAGCACATCCCCAGGACCATGTCGTCGGGAGCATCATTGCTGTAGCAGCGACACTTACTGGCGAGAAGTCTCCTGATGGCTTCTCTGCTGAAGACCATTCTAGTGGGAAGCCAGAGCAGAGAAAAGAGTTAGAGCAGCTCCTGGAGACCATTAATCTAAATAAAGAAGTATAGTCAAGAGGCCACATTCTTAAAAAGACATTGACCTCAGCAGTGTTTTATACCTAATAGTTATTCTGGGGGAAATGTTCTGTGCTTTCTATGAAAGGAAGTTTTACTTTGAGGAGGTGTTCACCTATCTAATAGGCAATCGTATGTCTTCAAATATTTCTTGAAAATGAATACTATACAATGTTCTTTTCTTAATATGTTATTGGTACTTAGAATAGTTCTTTAGGCTGGAACACTCTCAGTGAGATCAGTAAGAAAATCCACCAACATTCCCAGCAAGTGGATGGGCCCAGGCACCTTCCTCATTTAGGCTGACTGGCAATAATATCAAATCAAACTAAAACAACCATGCATTGTCCAGGTGATTCCAAGTCTGCAGAAGCTTCCTGAAGGTGATTTTGAGAAAGAAAAAGAACAGAGAGAGAGAAAGAGAATTTGCCCCAAATAGTGCTATGATGCTACTTGACCTGGTACGTTGGGTGCTTTCTGGTGGAACTCATGCCCAGTACGGCTTTTCTGTGCCCTCCTCACATGCTGCATAAGGCTAGAAGCTGCAAAACAGGATTTTCCAGTCTCCCCTGCCACCTAAGAGCTGGCTTCCATCTGACAATGAAGGCACGGTACTGGAGGATGGTTGGGGGAGGAGGGCATTTTGGCTCTGGCCGTCCCTGTGAAGGACGCAGGTGATGGTGGGCAGCTCCAGGCTCCGGCACAGCAGGCCCAGGGCAGCAGAGTGTTGACCATGGTCCCACGGCAGCAGTGGGGAGCTAGGCCCGGGACTGGCTCAGAGGCAGTGTTGTGACCCAACACAGTAGGAGTGGCCACAGCAACACACACGAACAGGCTCCAGAACACAGCCTTTGCTTTGTGCCTTAGCCTTTGGGGCTGTCACAGCTTTCTACAATTGCCAAGCTCTAGGTAAAGCCACCTGCTCTGCTTTATTCCTCTGGCCCCTTCCAACATGTCTGTAACAAGTTCCTGCAATAAATCCTCCTCCTTTTAAAATATAGATTGGTCCCAAAATATAGGACCATTCTAGGCCTACAGTGGTAATGGATCTTCTCATATTATGAATAATCCACTAGCTGATAGGGCTGAAGGGACTAATACGGTTCACAAATTCATTCCCAATAGGCAATGACTTCCTTGAGGGCAAAACTGTCTAAAACTTATCCGTATATTCCCAGAGCCAAATGCAGGGTCTCACACGCAGTAAGCATTCAGCAAAATCGGATGCATCAAGCAAGTGGGAATGAAGCTGCCTTTCCTTCCCAGGGAGGAGAAGGAGTTCTGTGAATCAGTCTAGTAGGAAGGGAAACAGGACAAAGACCTTGACTACAATCCCTGATGCAAAACTCAGCAGGGCTCAGTCCAGTGTAGTTTAATACTAGTGACCATGTGCTGGCAATGCAACAGCACACCGGACACTCTTTCTGCCCCTGCAAAGAGGTCAGAAGACACGATGAAACAAGATCAGACAAGAGGAAAAAGCATCTCTTTAATTAAGACAATACAAGGAAATCAGACTACACAGCTAGAAGAAACAGTTCTGGGGAGCCTGGGTGGCTCTGTTGGTTAAGTGTCCAACTGTGGCTCAGTTCATGATCTCATGGTTAGTGAGTTCAGGCCCACACTGTGCTCTATGCTGACAGCTTGGAGCTTGGGGCCCTCTTCAGAGTCTGTATCTCCTCTCTCTCTGCCCCTCCCCTGCTCATGCTCTGTCTCTCCCTCTCAAAAATGAATAAACATTTGAAGAAGAAGAAGAAGAAGAAGAAGAGGAGGAGGAAGAGGAGGAGGAGGAGGAGGAGGAGGAGGAGGAGGGGGAGGAGGAGGAGGATGAAGAAGAAGAAGAAGAAAAAGAAGAAGAAGAAGAAACAACACAGTTCTAGGGCACCTCAGTGGCTCAGTTAGGTAAGTGGCGAATCTTGACTTCAGCTCAGGTCATGATCTCACAAGTTCCTGAGTTTGAGCCCTTCATGGAGCTCTGCACTGACAGTGCAGAGCCTGCTTAGGATTCTCTCTAGTTCCCTCCTCTCTGCCCCTCCTCTGCTCTCTTTCCCCTTCTCTCAAAATAAATAAATAAACTTAAAAAAAAAAAAGAAGAAAGAAGAGAAAGGGGAGGGGGAGGAGGAGGAAGAAGAAGGAAGAAGGAAGAAGGGAGAAAGAAGAAGAGGAAGAGGAAGAGGAAGAGGAGGAGGAGGAGGAGGAGGAGGAGGAGGAAGAAGAAGAAGAAGAAGAAGAAGAAGAAGAAGAAGAAGAAGAAACAACAACAACACAGTTCTTGTGAAGTGTACCGAAAAGAAAACTGCACATGTGACAACTCACTAGAAGTCCTTTTTCTTGCAGTCCGGTGCCCACCAGTGACTGGGGTAGCACCTACATGCTGAGTCAAACTCCTACTCACCTACCTAACTCGAGGAAAAGGGCCTGTGTGAGGGAACATGCATCAGCTATAAACAAACACTTCCCTTAAAACATCTATCTGATGCTATGTCAAAGGGAATTTCCTAAATAAACTGCAGTTGACTTTGAACAATGCAGTGCTTGGGGGCCAGTCCCACGTGCAGATTAAAATCTGATAACTTTTGACTCCTCCCAAAAGTTACCTACTCATAGCCTAGTGTTGACCAGAAGCCTTACTGATAGCATAAAGAATTAACACAGTGTATGTTATATGTATTATAAACTGTTTTCTTACAACAAAGTAAGCTAAGGAAAAGAAAATGGCATTAAGAAAATCATAAAGAAGAGAAAATACATTTATAACACTGTACTGCATTTATCAGGGGAAAAAGCCACATACAAGTGAAACTGCCCAATTCAAACCCATGTTGTGTAAGAGCCAACTGTACTTGTATTCCAATCCAAGCTATCATCTTATCTTAAACCCAATTTAAATAAAAACATTGTATTTTTTTCTTTTGCCAGCATCTTCTAGAATGAGAAGGAAAAGGAAAACCCTCTAGTTTATCCTGGTCTACTCTCTGAAAAGTTACCTTTATAGGAAGATAAAATAGAAGCATAAAAATCTGTATTAGTATTTTTTTCTATTTTTCCCTACTCACACAGAACAGTCTTACATTAATTATTCACATACACTAAGTGCACATGAGCCTTTAATAACACTTGCTAATTAGTATGCTGATGGGTTATTTCAAAATGAGGTTGCCCCCCAAAATGGAAAACTACCAGACATATCATGGTATATCTGCTCTATATGCCAACTTTTAAATAATTAAAAGGATGTTGACAGGCTAATAATGTGACTTCTTTTCATCTACAGCGTAGATGCTTTTAAGCATAAGAAACACGAAATGGGAGGCAGGGGCTTGTGCCAGGCTGTGCATGCAAATCAAGAGCACATACAGAAGATAAAGTGCATCAGAAATGTGCCTGCCCCTCCTGGTCTTCTAGCAGATGAACGGGTCAGGGCTATCTCTGGGCAACAATTGCCCTCAGCCCCTTCCAGGGAGACTGCCAAAGAGAGTGGTAACATCCTGATCACAGCTTCCTACCCAAACATAGGTAAGTATTTCAAAAAAGAAAACGGTTGGTGATTGAATAAACTGTCCCGAATATTCAAGGAGTAAGCAACAAAGTGAAAACCAGATGCTTGGACTCAAAAAGTGCAAAGGTCTCATTTTCCAAACAATACAGGATACCTCCACTAAATCACTGGAGTCCACACTCCTGATTCAGCTCTGCTTAGTGGGGCTTAAGAGAGATCGTTGAATGCAAGGGTTTACTGACTGTAAACCACAGTGAGAAAATGAGAAACACATTTCATCCTACAACCATTTATATGCGTTGTGTGTGTATAAAATGGCAACAAAATCTCACAAAACAATACTTGCCTTCACTACATGTGATACACTATGACATTTCAATTTTATTCTATTCAAATTTATTCTATTTTATACTACATTATTTTTAAACGATGCCTATGATCCATTCATTGGTTTTTTCAAGCCATTAACTGATCCTGACTTGCTATTTAAGAAAAATCATGTTGGTTCTTGGGCTAGATCATCAGAAAAGTCTACTGAGAAGTCATTTAACATTCTGTCTGCCGCTTTTTTCAAAGGTTGATATGAGACAGTCTCATGATGAATGTTTCTGCATCTTTGTAAAAGTGTTATTAAAAACAGTATTATGCCAGTCATTAGTTATATAAAGATCAAGGCTCACTGTTCATACATTTATTCATTTATTCATTGTACCTTGTAAAAAATGAGTCCCTCTGCTAGGAAGTATGGATATAATGAGAAATGAGACACAGGTGCTGCCTTCAAATAATTCATAATTTAGGTGGAAAACAGAAAGGTAAATAGGCAATTAAATGATAATGGGTTGCATAATACACTATGAAAGTACATTTGAAAGGCATCAAACCCAGATTTGAGAGGCCAGACAAGGCCAAAGGCTTCCAGGAATAAATAATAGTTATATTGTGTCCAAGGAATGAGAAAGATGAGCTGGGTGACAAAGACAGAAAGCTGGGGAGGGGAAACAGTGCTATGCAGAAACCAGCAGATGCCAGTCTTGGGGAAGAGCAAAGAAAAAAAGGCCTCTGAGGATTTGAAATAAGCCCAGGAATTCTTTAAGATGAGGGTGCAGATGAAGGAGCCTAGAGCAGTAAAACAGCATCTGCCAAGGTCATGAGAGGCCTGGTAAGTCTTGATCAGGAATTTTGACTTTATCCTAAAGGTAACAGGAGGTTATAGAGGAACGCAAAAGACTTTCATTCTCTTGGTAATGAAAAAAAAAGTCCAAATAAAATTAAAATCACAATTACATATGGCATTGTTGAAGAGATAGATGGTACGAAGCCCAGACGAACTAGTTTCTAGAGAGAGGAATCCTTCCCAGATGGGTGGCAAGCTGGGTCTGGAGGCAGGAGGTGGAGAGAAAAGAACAGCTAGAGATGTGAGCCCCAAGGCAGTGGCCTCAGGAGCACCCACGGAGGCTGTGGACCCGGGAAGATGAAGGTGATTAAAACGAGGCCTAATCCCAGACCAGCCTGACTCCTATTGTAATCCGAATGACTGTCTTCTAGTCTTAGATGGCAAAGGTAGGGAAGGCTTCATGCTGTTGGGAAAGAATAAAAGCAAGAAAAGTAAGGCAAGGCCTCTGAGCAGTAGGGCACCAGGATCAGATGTGGTTACAGAAAAGTCTCTGTGGCTACAGGGTGGTCGACAGTAAGGAGTGGGGGAGATGAGGACTGATGGCAGGAGCACGCACGCGAGAGACGGTGTAACCTAGACCAGAACTGGGAGGTGGAGACAGAAGTGATATTTATGAGACAAAACTGACGTGACTCAGTGACTCGGTTGGCTTCAAAGTCCTGGGGAACGAGGAAGAGAAAGGATAAAGCAGACTCACGGGTCTCTGGGGCAGGAACTCGCACATGCCACATCTTCCCTGAGGGAACATCACTGGAAAAACACTAGAGCTGGGGCCAGAGTCAGAGGCAAGGCCGGGATGGCAGTGCTGGATCTCACGTCCTGTGAGTCATGCCAGTGGGCCTCTGGCAGGGGAATGCAGGAATCAGGAGGTCTGGGGAAGGCTGCAGGCTGGGGAGAGAGCCCTGGGTGTTTTCAGCATAGCCACCGGGTCGGTTAGATCACCCAGGAGAATCCAGCGTGAGAAGGACACCAGAAAACATGCCTGGAGAACACAGGTCATTGAAGGAATAGGAAAAAGGAACCAAGAAGGAATGATCAGAAAGGCAGGAATACACAAGGATAGGACATTGCTCTGGAAAGCAAGAGAAAGGAGCATTTCAAGGAGTAAGCAATCACCTTTGTCAAAGTCCGCTAAGAGGTCAAACAAGAGGAAGATTGGAATTAAGCCACTGGATTTGGCTACTGGATGCTGCCGGAGACCTCAGCAAGATAGTTGAGGAAGAAAGCCAAGAATGGCGGTCAGACGGAAGTGGGGGCTGGAGAAGCAGAGATCGTGAGTCCTGGATTCTCAAGATGATATGAAGGAGGGAAGAGGGAGGGTGTGGTGGCAGGAAGGAATTTTAAGATGGGAAAGCTGGAGGCGGTAGGAAGTCCACAGTAACAAGGTAGAAGCTGAACATGTAAGAGAGGTTAAAGTACCACCTTGGTGGTGACAGTCCCTGCCATGGGCCTGGGAAGGGGGGCAGTGACATTCATGCCATGTAGTTGCCAGTCTGGCACTACCCTGTGAGCTCTGGTAAGGAAGGAACTGTGGCTTCTATTCACATCCCCAGTGCCCGTACCCACTAGGCTTGTGGAGTAAATGAGCAATCAGCTGTAGTGATAAAGGAGGCTCTGGCGAGGTGACGCCAGTCTGAGAGATAACAGTGAAATCCAACAGGCAAGGAAGGAAACAAAATAGTTTTCTTGAAAAGTCATTTCTATGTTAAAAGTATATTAACACATATGTGCTACAAAATATAGAAACCCATATATAAATAATAGGACCCCTCTCAAAGGTAGAAAGTTCTTTTTTTTTTTTTTTAATATTTTTATTTATTTCTAGGAGAGAGAGAGAGAGAGACAGCGTGAGCAGGGGAGGGTCAGAGAGAGAGGGAAACACAGAATCTGAAACAGGCTCCAGGCTCTGAGCTGTCAGCACAGAGACCGACGCGGGGCTCGAACCCACGAACCGTGAGATCATGACCTAAGCGAAAGTCGGACACTTTACCGACTAAGCCACCCAGGCGCCCCTCAAAGGTAGAAAGTTCTGACTCAAGGGATATGATGCCCTGGAAGTCAACAGTCTTGGCCTTTACCCTTTAGTGTCTTTTCAAAGGCCTACTGGACCCCCATGTCCTGCTGCTAATGACCTCAGGTTAAGACATGCCACTGCCCAGCAAAGATCAGTGCTCCTGCTCAGGCCCAGTATATAATCTTTATCGCTAGGTAGGTTGAGCAATGGCTGAGGTCATTTTTTCATCTCAAATCTATTCAACACAATACCATCTCCTCCAGTATCCCACAGTCCTGATACCCAAGCGACCACACCTTATGCTTATGAAAGCTGCACGTCCATAACCATGTATTAATCACTGAATCAGCTAGACTGTACCAGAACACCGGGAATATGATTCTTATTATGAAGTAGGAACCATTCTGACCTAGGGGATTGCAAAGTAAGAATATAAAGTCCTGACCAGACTTTCAGAGGTTTATAAACCAGTGCCAGGGTTGTTGCCCAGCACATCGTGGACATTCAACAAATACCTGTTGAATGAATTTAAATCACTGTACTTGATAATAAGTTAAGATTCTCCCTAAATAAACCAATAGCAAAAACTGTAGAAATAACAGACTAATTGCTCAACTGACTTACCCATGTAAATCAAATAAAAATCGTTCTTCATAAGAGATTAAGCATAGGTAGATGCTTCATTTAAAATCATTGACTTTTGGGGCACCTGGGTGGCTCAGTCGGTTGAGTATCTGACTCTTGGTTGGTCATGATCAGTTCAGGTCATGATCTCACAGTTTGTGAATTCAAGCTCCATGTCAGCTCCTTGGGATTTCTCTCTCCCTCTCTCTATCCCTCCCCAGCTTGCTCTCTCTCAAAAAACAAATAAACATGAAAAACATAGACTTTTACTGTTTTTTAAAACCTATAAATCCTACACAAATATCACTTAACTGCTTAAGTCTAAACTTCTGAAACTACTCTTTCCCTAAATGTGATTTATTAGCAATAGATAATTTAGAAGTCTAGTGACCTATTTTCAGAAAATAAAATCTATATCCAAGTTTCTTTTTCATTAAAACAATCAAAACTAATGGTCTACCTAGAGGCAATCATTCCTATAAGGAAATTTCTACCGAGTCCCTTGATACCCATTTATATTTCTTCAAGGGGTAAAATATTCTTTACGGTGAACTGTTTTCATATTTAGTAAATTTAATGTTTACTTTCCTATTATAGACACAGCTGCCATTTACAGAGCACTTACATATCAGGATTGGCCCCGCTGCCACAGACCTGGCCCTGCATCACGGAAACAGAAGTTAATGCTGAGAGTATCTGCAGAAAGCTATGCTCATAGTTACCCTCCTCCTCCTGTGATGTAGCTGTAGCCACCAGTGCCCAGGCCGTAGCCATAACGCTCTCCCAGAAACAGTGGTTCGCTGGAGTCGTAACAGCTAAGCAAGTGCTGGAGCCTGGAGATGCTGAGATTCCAAAGAGAACATAAGCAAGAATTACTTCACTCAAATGCATTTGCATGGTAAATGGTTTATGATTCCTACATCCCACTGGTCATGTTATATAATACTATACTGAAATTGCTTAGAGATGAAATTCAAGTGATTTAAAGAAAAAAAATTGAGGGACACTGTATATTCCTGGAAACAAACTAAAAAACAAGGGGCTTACTCCCCGGTTTTAGTAAGCCCCTGCCAGAACATGGCTGCCCAGGTTGTGTAGGTAGGGTGGCAGGTTAATGAAGTTGAGGTGGCCAGTGTACTCTTTAGCTCACTTCTACCAGTCCTGTTTCCCAGTGAGTGTGAATTAACTGTCACATCTTTTCAGATGTACTTGGTATAGGAGTGCTGACAACACCGACTCCATCTTTGGCCCTCCATCTTATTCTCGCCTCTGGCTCACAGAAGGCACCACTTTATTTATTTTTTATTTTTTTTACAAATAGTTTATTGTCAAATTAGTTTCCACATAACACTCAGTGCTCATCCCCATAAGTGTCCTCCTCTATGCCCATCCCTCCTCCCCCCCACATCCATCAGTACTCAGTTTTTGTCAGCATTCAAGAGTCTCTCATGGTTTGCCTCTCTCCCTTTCCCCCACCATTTCCCCCCTTCTTCTCCACCTTGTTCCTCCATCAAGTTCCTCCTAATCCTCCTATACGTGCAAACATATGATATTTGTCCTTCTCTGCCTGACTTATTTCGCTCAGCATAACACCCTCAAGGTCCATCCATGTTGCTACACATGGCCAGATTTCATTCTTTCTCATTGCCATGGCGTATTCCATGGTATAGATAAACCACATCTTCTTGATCCATTCATCTGTTGATGGACACTTAGGCTCTTTCCATGTTTTAGCTATTGTGGAGAGTGCTGCTATGAACATTGGGGTACATGTGCTCCTATGCCTCAGCATTTCTGTATCCCTTGGGTAAATTCCTAGCAGTGCTATTGCTGGGTCATAGGGGAGTTCTAGTGTTAGTTTCCTGAGGAACCTCCACACTGTTTTCCAGAGGGGCTGTACCAGTTTACATTCCCACCAACAGTGTAGGAGGGTGCCCGTTTCTCCACATCCTCGCCAGCATCTAGAGTTCTCTGAGTTGCTCATTTTAGCCACTCTGACTGGCGTGAGGTGGTATCTCAGTGTGGTTTTGATTTGTATTTCCCTGATGAGGAGGGATGCTGAGCATCATTTCATGTGTCTGTTGGCCATCTGGATGTCCTCTTTGGAGAAGTGTCTGTTCATATCCAGAAGGCACCACTTTAGATAACTAGCAGAGAGCCTCGGCACAGGCGGTGCCACTTTAGATAGCTACCTGTGATGGCACCCATGCCCCGAGCTCCATAAAACCTGAGGATTAAGATCTGGATAGTGGCAGAGAATAGCTACATGTTACTGTCCTGACTGACCATCCATAAGTTACCCAGAATAAAACCATGTAAACAGGTTGGAGTGGCTTGCTACCTCTTTTGGCATGAAAGTCTGGAGGATACATTACTGACCCTCCTTCACCTTCTAACACCTGGTGTAGTAGGCAGGATACTGAAAATAAAATGAGCCATGGGTAAAGGAGCCCACAGTCCACACAGGGAAAGCTTGTTGTCCCTTGGGGAATCCCAAGCCTGCTAGCCACCGCCGCCATGGGGAGATTTGGCCAGATCTTGTGAGCATTTCAGACCAGTATGTGAGTACAGAAATGCCCTATAAAAAACGCTTGTCTGAAATGGTGGTGAAGCAAAAGGGCCAAGAAGGGGGTGGCAGCTTGGGTGTTATCACTGCGGGATCCTGGAGGAGATGGTATTATGCTGAATGGATTCGCGATGAAAAACTGGCCTCTGCCACGGCTGCATGTGCCTAGTGATAAAGATTATATACTGCAGGCATGGGTGAGAACTGCAGGCACTTAGCTAATCTGACAGGCTGAATAAATGCTAGCATTAAGAAAACCAGGCCTAACAAGGAGGCTGCCCCCTCCCTCCGTTGCACCGGACCTCTCTGGAAGAACTGGGGATGAAACATGCTATTTATACCCAGCATTTTGGTGGCCCAAATGAATAATTACATTCCTCTGGTATGAATGACGGTATCTCAACCCCAGGAGCACTGTATGGGACTTTAGTATTTGCTCTTGCCCCTGTAGCTAAATGGCCCCTTGCTACAGTAGCCGCTATGGTGGTGGACTTGAATGAAATTCAAAGAATCCCTTCTGAGGGAAATAGATTTAAAAGGAAGGAAAAACAAAGGATCCCGCTGATGAAGAAATGGCAGAAAGGGCATCTATGAAGATCTTGTAAACACTGGTAGCAAGATCTAATATTATCTGGGACCCTGAGAGAAAATCTAGACAAGCAACCCAAGTTGGTCTTGCTGAGCCTCTAGAAGGCAATGCCTGATGGAAAGCAATTCACTTTGAAGGGAGGCTAATAAAGCCATATGTGTTGCCAAGTACTCCTCTGCCAGTGGAAGAATTTCAGGGGCGGACACTGCCTACTCCTAGAAACTAAGGGTTAGGCCAGCATTGCCCTCCAGTGCATGCAAAAGTGGACAACTGGAGGACCCATGTGGAATTAACCATTTATTGGCTTTGCACTAACCATCAGATTGTGCTACCTCTAATACTCACTGGCTGAATGCACTCTTAATCAATGGAAATGCCTCAAATTTAGGTGGAGAAATAAAGGAAAAAATGGTAGTAAAATAAATAACAGGGCTTGGGATGTGAATGCCAGATGTTTGTGGTGAATTGGATGTAAATTCACATCCAGAAGGGTTTGGCCGGGGCTTGTGGTAACAACAAAATGGCAAATCAATTATAGTTATTTGCATAAGTTTGATAACAGTACGTTCTTATAATAGGACACCACTGGAAACCTTGATTACCAAGGCTTTGACTGGAAGGTCACATTTGAAAGAGACACGTAGTGGGGCGCCTGGGTGGCTTGGTTAAGCGTTCGACTTTCGCTTAGGTCATGATCTCGCGGTTCGTGGGTTCGAGCCCCGCGTCGGGCTCTGTGCTGACTGCCAGCTCAGAGCCTGGAGCCTGTTTCAGTCTGTGACTCCCTCTCTCTCTGACCCTCCCCTGCTCACGCTGTCTCTCTCTCTCTCCTAAAAATAAATAAAACATTAAAAAAAAAAGAAAGAAAGAAAAGAAAGATACACGTAGAGACTCAGATATGGCCAAGAGCACCAAGGAACTAAGACTGACTAGACAGAGACAAGGAAACCCTTTGGAAGAAAATGGCCTGCTACTTTGCTTCCAGGTTTCCTGGGAGCTCTACCGGGTAAGGAAGGAAAGTCACTTGGGGATCTCAAGAAGAGAGGAACTCATTCAAAGTAAAGGTGTTGCGGGTGAGTCTGATGGCAAGTATTTGACTTGGTCTCTGGCTTTCAAAGGCTGTTAAAGGCTCCAACTGAAATTCCTTCTGAGAAGTTCCAGAAAAGCAGATTTAAAAGAACCTAAATGGCCAGTCACCAGTCTTGTTGCACATATGTAAATATTTGGGCCAAGTTTGTTAAAACTGGACTTGTTTTACAAACAGTCGTAATTTGGCTACCTTTTATAGAAATGAGGGTGATTTTAGGAAAAAAAAAGGTTTCAGTAACATACTTTTATGGGTGTTAGGTTCTAGTTCTGATTGCATGTTTACTGTTTACCTCTAAAACTGGGGGGCTAGATTCTGAATTCTTCCGGGTTCCATGCATATACAGCTCATTTACTACCTGACTGCTTGCACTCCATAAACCTGACTTTGAAATCATATTGGCAGGACCACCTCCTGAAAAGACACCACTGTTTAACCAAATGGTCCTAATTGACCTTGTTATAAAATGTAGAATGAGATGCTAAGACTATATACAAGACTTCCAAAACAGTGGTTACAAAGGATGGGAGCTCAACTTAGTGCTAGGGAATATCTGCAGTGTGATGCAAGGCAGTTTTTAATTCGTGAAATCATGATCTATACCCCTTTCCAGCAGGAAGTAGCTAGAGGGGTCATCACCTCTACCCCTCAGGAATTAGGAAGGGTTCAGGGTCCCTGGGTGGCTCAGTGGGTTAAGCATCCAACTCTTGATTTTGGGTCAGGCCATGATCTCCTGGTTCATGGGATCAAACCCCAAGTCAGACTCCACACTGACAGCAAGGAGCCTGCTTAGGATTCTCTCTCTCTCTGCCCCTCCCCCAACTCGCATGTGCTCACTCACTCTCTTAAATACACATAAAAAAAAAAAAAAAAAACAATGAGGAATGGTGAAAAACCAGGGGTGGTACTGGTTAAGCCCGAGTTGTTAGTTATATTGCTGCTGTGGCATGGGTTACAAGTCACCTCCTGATATCTGGCTCTAAGAATGGTGGGCAAAGATTGTACAGGCCAAAAAGATGTCCAAGGTGGAATGCAGGAGTGCTAATAACATTGACTCCATCTGTGGGACTCCGTCTTGTGCTCGCCAGCCCCAGTGCACAGGTGGCACCACTTCAGAGAACTGGTGGCTATCCAGTACACAGATGGTGCCATTTAAGAGAACTACCCCATGACCTCCCCACCATGCCCCTCATTCCATAAGAGCTGGGGAAAGTTCCAGATAAAGGCTAGGAATAGGGATGGAGATTAAGACCATATTTCAGCCTGGATCTTCTGTCCATTGGCCCACCCAACTGCCTGTCAGTAAGTTACCCTGAATTTTTATTCACTGTTCACGCTGTGAACAGGAGGGAGCAGCTTCGTTCATTTTTCAGTATGAACATATCTTCCTGGTTTGGAGGATACATTATAAACCTCTGCCACTTTCTTTTTCTTTTTTTTTTTTTTTAAATTCTGCCACTTTCTAACATTTGGTATTTTTTAATTTTTAATGGCCCACACACAGAATTTTTGAGGTACAAATGAGGTCAATGTCAGGCACATGGCGGGCAGATGGGAAAATGGATTTTGTTAAAACATTCCAGGAAACCTTTCAATTATGGCG